ATTTGTTTTTTTAAGTTTTATTATATTTCTATACAGTCCTTTTTTTACTTTAAAAAAATGTTCAGGGGTACAGTACTCTCATTTCGACTCAAGAAAATCACCATTTCATAGTTCAAATCGGGGAAAATAAATACAGTAAATGGACAAAAGGACAAAGATTCACAAAATGTTTAGGGGTATGCATACTCACTGCGTCCCCCCAGAAAAAAAGCACTGTTTCTATATATGTTGGATGCTGCCCAGAGTGGCTGCGGCAACCCACTCAGATAGGCAGGGTATAAATATTATTATTATTATTAGTAGTAGTAGTAGTAGTAGTAGTAGTATGGAATATAACACCCCTATTTTCATTGGAGAAATGTTGGAAGGTATGGGATCTCCCACTACCTTTGCAGCCTGAAGATCAGGGGTCAGCAAACCTTTTCAGCAGGAGGCCGGTTCACTGTCCCTCAGACCTTGTGGGGGGCCGGACTATATTTTTTTGGGGGAATGAACAAATTCCTATGCCCCACAAATAACCCAGTGATGCACTTTAAATAAAAGCACACATTCTACTCATGTAAAAACACCCTGATTCCCGGACCATTCGCGGGCCGGATTTAGAAGGCGATTGGGCCGGATCCGACCCCTGGGCCATGTTTGCCTACCTATGCTGAAGATGCACCACTTTGCTGAAGTGCTGAAACGATGAGCACTGCCTTCACTTCCTTCCTCAGGCTGCTGACCACAGCCGCCTGTCCACCTTTTTCCAGATAATGTTGGCTCCCATTATGAGGACGCGAGGAGCTATGCTGGGAGGTGTGGGAGCCTAAAACCATCTAAAAAATGATTTCATGGCTGGTGCTAGGTGAAGTCATTGGCCCTCGGGAGAGGCAGGGATGTCACAGGACGTAATGAGAACCCTGGGATGGTTATCCTCAGCGCACCTGAGCCTGTGGAATGCTCATAAACCCGTTGCCAGGGAGTGGCGCACGGTTGCTAGGTGGGTACTGGCCGCAGGTGGAGCCCCGCTGTCATGTGGCTTGCGGTGAATAAGCCCAGCTTTTGTGCCAAAGGGCTTCAGGGAAGAGTTGAGCTGGGTGGGGCCTCTGCTAGAAGAAACTGGAAGGGGGAAAGAGGAAGGAGGAGCTCGCAATACTCAACATTACTCAGTGGAAATCTGGGAGAGGAGCACCCTGCAGATTTTATACCTTGCGCAGCAATCCAAGATGTGGCAGGGTTGGGGAGACACAGAATTTACCCTTGCGTTACAGAGCTCACCCACAGTGGAGTTGAATGTGCATTTGAAGCCGACTGTGTCTCTTGTTGTTGTTGCATCCACTCCCCTCCCCCCTGCAAATTTGGGTTTTCTCAATCCACAGATAATCGGTAAGAAAAAAAACCATCCCACATAAAATCACACATGACCCAACTGTGGACGTGCTGAAGTGCATTGCGTGGGCATTGGGGCTTGTTCTTACAACTGTAACGACATTTCGCTGGGTGCGATATCTATTGCATCCCTTATCCTCCAAGGTGTACATTTTGTTCCCATCAGCCAAAAGGATGCAGCCTGCCTTTATAAACTGGCTGCTGCCAACAGCACATCCATGGTATTTTCATGTTAAAAACCACTCCTTTGCACAGAACTCTTGGGCAAAATGGCTAGTTCGAAATCTATCATTTGGTCTTGCAGGTATAAGGGAAGGAGAAGGAGAAGAGGAAGGAGAAGGAGGAGAAAGGAAGCAGCAACCTTTCATGTGTTTGGCTTCAAATCATTGCCCAGCTTTTTAAATTATTTTTGACTGAGCTTTTGTGCATGTCTGGTAGATTGAAACACTTGTAGTTCATTAAAAAATATATATGTAAAATGGTGCACAGGTAAACAAACACCTACCCATGTGTAACAGGTTTCTGGCTAATAAAGGACTCCAGGACGGTTAAGTCCAGTCAAAGGCAACTATGGGTTGTGGCTCTCATCTCGCTTTCAGGCCAAATGAGCCGGCATTTGTCCACAGACAGCTTTCTGGGTCATGCAGCCAGCATGACTAAACCGCTTCTGGAGCAACAGAACACTGTGATGGAAACCAGAGTGCAAGGAAATTCTGTTTACCTTCCCGCCGCAGTGGTACCTATTTATGTACTTGCACTGGCGTGCTTTTGAACTGCTAGGTTGGCAGGAGCAGGGACAGAGCAACGGGCGCTGACCCCGTCGTGGGGATTCAAACCGCCGACCTTCTGATCAGTAAGCCCAAGAGGCTCAGTGGTTTAGACCACAGCGCCACCCTGTGGGGAAGGATAGCCCACACAGCACAAATAAATCCCATCAAGTGTGGATGGGAAACACTGAGGCAGATTTCAGAGGCATAAAAAACAGACCAAAGCACACAAAGGAACAGCCACCCATGTATGCATCAACACCTTATGTGGACACAGTCAAAAAGTCAGGAGCAGATATTGGTCGATCCTCTTCTACAGCGTGGTCGCAGGCTTCATTATTGACAGCTGGATGTGTGAGCAGCCTCAAGGGAAAAGCAGGGTTTTTTGGGGAGGGGCATCACTTTATACATGAGGAGGCAAGGTGAAATGAAATGCTGTGAGGGCAACTTCCATTCACACAAGCGAATTGCACCATTAAGCAATGAACGCACAGGTATGAATCAGCTCTCAGTTTCCCATTTGCATGGGTTTCTAGTACTGATACAAGCTTTTATTCACAAAACTATATGGTTGTGGCTTGGATCCAAAGTCAACTTAATGAAGTTCATGAGAGGAAAGGTTTCAGTCTGCTCACCCCACCCATCATTGTTCTGTGAGGGCCCTCTGGAGAGGATGGGAAACCTTTTTCCTGTGAACTCCCTTAAGGATCAAGCCATTGTATTCACCCTCAAAATGTCCCAGTAAGGTAATCCCACATCAAAGGCATGACTGAGGCTGAAATTTAAAAAAAATGAGAGAGATCTACTTGGGAATTTCATGATGAATGAGGATTTGAACCCAGAACTCCCTGGTTTAAACATCCACTGAATAAAGAATATGCTTCGCTCACACCAAACAGTCTGAGACTCCTTATTGTGCTCAAGATGAAGGTCACCCACAAATGCAAAACTGGATCCTGTTAATCTAACAGCTGGGTGGTTTTAAGAGGTGGCACAAATATTTCATAACAAGAGCCACACAAACCTCTCTCTCAATGCTTGCAATTCCATCCTATTCACACAAAAGTCTGTACTAAAGATCACGGGGGGAGCATTTTGCTCCGAACTTGCCGGATACCTAGTGGAGAAACGTTTATCTCTCCACCATTACATACTGGAATAACACAATAATAAAATGTTTTGTTAAAAACAGTGCGCACAAGGAATGCTTCCAGAGCTGGTTTGCTCAAAGCTCAAAACTGCCACCTGGTGGAAAGCTGAAAGATTATGTTTCACCAGAGACAATGGCAGATGCTCTATTAAAACAGCTGATGCGGATGCAGCAGGGGTGTGAATGGGGTAACAGCTATACCTGTCTGATTCCGGAGCAGACAGAAACCTGTCCTATCCCTTTCCCATTTTTGAATGAAACCTGACAATCCTTTAATTTCTAAAAAGCACAACCACCCTTCTTCCTCCGGCCGTTGGCGTCTCCGCCCCACTCCAAGAGAAAGCTGGGCCTGTTATTTTGCCTTGCCTTGCCACAGCACTTGTGGCAAAGAGCACTTTTGTGGCACAGAGCATTGATGCTTAGAGCCCTCCTACTGAAACAACACGCAAACCCTTTGTTACACATGTATGCATGACCTGACCCAAAGCCCACAACCAAATACAGTGGTACCTCGGGTTACATATGCTTCAGGTTACAGACTTCGCTAACCCAGAAATAGTACCTTGGGTTAAGAACTTTGCTTCAGGATGAGAACAGAAATCATGTAGCACCGGTGGCGCGGCGGCAGCAGGAGGCCCCATTAGCTAAAGTGGTGCTTCAGGTTAAGAACAGTTTCAGGTTAAGAATGGACCTCCAGAACAAACTAAGTTCTTAACCCAAGGTACCACTGTAACAGAAGAAAATAACACTAATTTTTAAGGCTGGTTCACAAGTGTATGTACATACCGGGGTCAGTATGTGGCCTTTTCGAGCAGTTGTTGGGAGCCGTGGCCCAGTGCCCTGGCAGAGTCCACCACTGGGCGGATGCCGTGCTCTGAAAATTGCCATTCAAATTTCCCACAATGCCCTGGAGTGAGACGGCAGCTGGGGCATTAGGGGAAATAAAAATGGCAGCTCCAACCTCCAAGCCATCCCAACTCCACCAGGTGAGGGTAGCTGATGGGTCTCAAAGCTTCAGTGAGTTAGCGACTTCACCTGCACGCGAAGACAGCCTCTGTGTTTTGAGCGGACTAGACCAATAGTGGGTCCAACGGTCAAGAAGGCGGGTTCTGCAAGTGTCATAGAGGGAAGTGAGGGGCAGATGGGGCTCGTCAACCTGGGAAAGGAGCCCATCTAGGAGAAGGAAAACTCTGCTCCTAAACCTCCAGCCATAAAGAAGGCTGACCGCTGAAAAATTGATGCTTTTGAATTATGGTGTTGGAGGAGACTCTTGAGAGTCCCATGGACTGCAAGAAGATCAAACCTCTCCATTCTTAAGGAGTGAGTGCTCACTGGAAGGACAGATCGTGAAGTTGAGGCTCCAATACTTTGGCCACCTCATGAGAAGAGAAGACTCCCTGGAAAAGACCCTGATGTTGGGAAAGATGGAGGGCACAAGGAGAAGGGGACGACAGAGGACGAGATGGTTGGACAGTGTTCTCGAAGCTACCAGCATGAGTCTGACCAAACTGCAGGAGGCAGTGGAAGACAGGAGTGCCTGGCGTGCTCTGGTCCATGGCGTCACGAAGAGTCTGACACCACTAAACGCCTAAACAACAACAACAACAAACCTCCACTGCCTTGCCACACAAAATAATTACAGAGGAAGCTCTTCTCTAAGCCGTGAGACGGTAAAGGGTTGCAGATCTTGGATAATAGGTCTTTAAAAAAGAAAAAGAACCAACATGCTCAGAAGACAGTCATAAAAGAACTGGGAGGTATTTTATTAAAATCCAGCTAAAATTATAACAAAAAGAAATCTGTACAATGCAAGGAAAAACAAAACAAATTAAATTAACTGACAACAACATTACAAAGGCAACTCTGTGAGGTTTAAGAAAGCACTTGACAAGCCAATTTGAACGTACCTATCGCTCTGTTTTAGAACCATGTCAGAAGGGAGCCAGTGCCTGCTGAGGTCTAGCGCACCATCTGAACAGTCAGTACCAGGCAAAAACAGAGCAATGCATTCTGGGAGCCTGGTTCTTAAGAGAGCCAATGTTCTGTGAGGAAAGGGTCAATGGCTTAAATTTGGTCCTGTTGGAAAATCAGTGGCACTAAAAATACCCAGCTGGATAGATCACTATCGTGTGTCTGTGTGTGTGTTTGCCTGAATAGCCAAAGTCACTGGCACCCAGCATATCTGAGGTCACACTGGCAGAGCCCAGGGTGAAACCAGAAGCAGACGCTGTGCTGGTCACCTCTCCCACTTTTGCATGGAGGTTTGTTACGAAGCAGGGCTCTCCTAAAGTGAAGTACCATGGGGGAAAAACACAGCACCTTGGATTGGCTCAGAGGCACCCCATGCTCAGCCAACTGCGTTTGGGGTGGACTGGAAAATTCTATGCAGGAGGTACTGGGAGGTAGAAGACCCCCAGCCTTGGAAGAATCTTAAACAAGGGCCAGGAGGGTGAGGTTCCCAAGGCAGGGATCTTGTTGGAACACCATCAGGGGCGCATCTGCCGGTTCCAGACAGCCCACTTCAACCCTGGTGGGCGCAAGGAATCAGAACACGCACCCCTCACCTACAGAGGAATGCAGGGACCACATCGCTCATTCGAGCCCCTCTGTCTCTGTGAACAAAGAACACAGTGCATTAAAGGAGTCCGTCCTCAGCCTTTGCAGGTGCATCTATACTTGCCAAAATGCTGCTTGCACCCTCCAGCGAAGTCATGCCACAATGCGCGTGCTCACTGCTGCCCCCTCCAGGATCCATGCAGCATGCACAAGAGTCCACCTGCCAGCTCCGGAACTTGGACGCAAGAGGAAGGGGCGGGGCATGCAGGAGAATCGGCGCCAACCCACCGGGGAGCCACAACAGCTCTCTCCTTTCCTATCCTTCTAACGCTCTTTGCAATGCCTTCTGGGAGCTGCCTGAGCTCTAGAGCCAAGCTTAGCGTTGTCGGCAGGCGAACGGCTGGACAGACACACATGGATGGGAGCAGAGGCGGCACACTGGAGACACAGAGAGGAGGGGGGGTGCAATGCCAAACAGGAAAGGGTGTGAAGGAATCCAGGAGGGAGGGTAGGAGTGTGGACACAGGACCAAGCCACACAGTAGGGAGAAAGGTCCGGCCTTTCAACGTTGCTATTAATAACCTTGGTCGGCCTTGTCGCCTTTCGATTTTGGCTCCTGCCACCACTGGGACAAAAACCCTTCTTCGTAGTCACCCATGCCCTCGAACTCAGCATCCGATGGCAGAGCCGGATCCTTCGCTCTCTCCTCACCATCGCTCACCTCCGCCTGAGGGAGGAAAGGAGATGTCACACAAAGCATAACAGCTTGAGAGGGCAGAGTGTGTGCTGCTTCCACAGAATGAGGAAACTGGGCATAGACTCCCGTATCAAAAGATTACCAAGTTTCCAGTCCATATGACTGTCAAAAAGTCTTCAAATCACACGGATAATGCCTGATGTAATCTTAGAAGCTGTGGCAAGGTGGAGGTCGATTGGAACTGAGATGACTCCTCCTAGTACAGTCGTACCTTGGATCCTGAACGCCTTGCGAGTTGAACGTTTTGGCTCCTGAATGCCGAAAACCCGGAAGTGAGTGTTCCGGTTTGCGAACGTTCTTTGGAACCCGAACGTCTGACGAGGCTTCTGATTGGCTGCAGGAGCTTCCTGCAGCCAATAAGAAGCCGCACCTTTGTTTCCGAACGTTTTGGAAGTCGAATGGACTTCTGGAATGGATTCCGTTCGACTTCCAAGGTACCACTGTATAGGCGAGCGGTGTGATATATTTATAGCAAAACATTATCTACGAATCAAGGTTGCCAACCTTTTTCTTTCTTTTTTTTAGAAAAAAAGGTAGCATCGTACCAAGCTATGATCAATTAGAAAACAAAACGATGTTCCTACCATTTCCTGTATGTAAAGTAAGAACTCCATAAATCACCTAAGATCGTTTACAGATGTTTGTGAGATGAGCAAGACTCAAAGGAACTCAAAGGAGTCGGCTTCTCTGGATGCCCGGGCAGTGAAATCATGATTGCGTCTGTATCCTTTATGCTAATAGTGAACTCATTCTCCAAGTGCTGATACTCAGGTGGCCATCAAGCCTCAAGAGAAATATCAGCTGCCTTTGGAAAACCCCAATTAGAAGAAACATGGAGAATTTGTGTGAGAGAGAGAAGAAGAAGAGAAGGAGGAGAAAGGGAATAACTTAGAAAAGGCATGGCTGTCTTCCTGAACGGTACTTCACACTATGACATTCTGTTGCAGGCCACATTAGTTTTGTATGTATATTCCCACGTGTAAATAATATCCAACACCTTGGTAGATCTGATGGGACCATTGCCACACAATAAATCTGCAAACTTTGCTGGTGCTACAGGACTTGTTTTTGCTATGCATTTTCCCGTTTAGGAATAAGATAACTGAATGCCTGCTTCTATTTCACGTTTTATGGTGCTGGGCTAGATTCTGCCTGATTTCAAACCATATTTAATTTTATTTTTTGATAGACCACCTGAATGCAGCTCATGGACCCCTAGTGGTCTGCGAACCGTAGCTCGGGAATGCCTGGCCTATCACCTTCCTATCCCCACTGCTCTTCCTGTGGCGTAGGTTAGGTCAGTTGATCGGCGGTTCCTGCAGTTACCTTTTCGACCCAGCCTTTACCTGCCTCTCACCTCTGACAGGTAGGCATGGCTTGGTCAAAATAGCCTGGTGGGTAAAATGGGGAGGCCCTGAGGTTACCCATCCCTGGGTTCACATTAGACAGAGATTTTGTGTGTGTGTGTGTGTGTGTGTGTGTGTGTGTGTGTTTCTGGCCCCAAGCCACCCAAGAAGCCAGGATATGAGCTTGGGCCTCTCTCATGAAGCATTCTGGCAGCCGCCGTGTCATCCTGCCTCTGGCCTCATGGCCTCTCACCTCATCATCTGGCTGGAGATACTGCCTGGCAAACTCCAAGAGCTTCTTCTGAGCAGATGTCTGGTTGTGGTAGCGCAAGGCCTCCTGTGAATGAAACAGAAGTCAGTCGTCGGAGGATGGTAGGGTGGGAAGGGAGGCCCCTTCCCCCCTCAGCTACCTGACAAGAGGCTTTGCCCACCAAGGAGATAAGCTCCATAGGCAGAGCACGAGACTCAGGGCTGTGGGTTCGAGTCTGACTCTGGGAAAAAGATTCTTGTGCTGGAAGGGGTTCCCTTCCAACTCTGCAATTCTAAGTATGAAAGCACTTTCCCAGCCGCTCTGTTAATTCAGCTCTGGGCACTGTACATCTGAGCACAGAAGCCCGGATCTTAGCTTTCATTTTAAAAGGAAGGAAGCTTCAAGACCAAATGACTTGAAAGTCTGGAGCCAACAGCTGCTGAAATCTCCAAAGGGGCTTCCGAGGTTTCCAGTGGTCATGGGGCTGATCTTTGGCCCTCCTTGTGACAAGAGGAAGCAGAAAAAAATGGGCAGAATGTGCATAAGAATGCACAATGAGTTGCTCTGCACAATAGGTTGCACAATTTCTAATTTAATATGGAATCATAATTTTATTATTTATACCCCGCCCATCTGGCTGGGTTGCCTCAACCACTCTGTATTTTTAACGCCAAGGGACAGCGTTCTCTGGGATGTCGGAAACTTAATGTAACGTATTTTTCGCTCAATAAGACGCACTTTCCCCCTCCTAAAAAGTAAGCGGAAATGTGTGTGCGTCTTATGGAGCGAATGCAGGCGGGAGGCTCTGCTCAGCGCTCCCTTTAAAGAGCTGCGTGGAGCGTGTGTGGGCTCCAGTCCGTCAGTCCCTTCTCGGGGAAAAGCCCCCAAGAGCCACACACACGCTCCACGTGGCTCTTTAAAGGGAGCGTGGCTCTTGGGGGAGTCTTCTGCCTTAGCTGCGCGCAGCCCCTTCTAGGCAGGGGAAGCCTTTATCCTGCTGCCTGGGGGAGGCTGCGCACGGCTATCCCATAAGCCAGGACAGCAAGAGGCTATCCCAGAAGCCAGATCCCTCTTGCTGTTTGTGGCTTCTGAGACTCAGAATATATTTTTTTCTTGTTTTCCTCCTCTAAAAACTAGGTGCGTCTTGTGGTCTGGTGCGTCTTATAGAGCGAAAAATACGGTACATTTGGTTTTGCTGCAATAGGCTACTCCTTAAGCCAGCCCCCTAGTCACGCCCTTACCGTCCGTGGGTTGAAGTCGCCTTCCTCCAGGTGCCAGCGCTCCCGATAGAAGCGGTAATAGACCAGATTCTGCTGCATGACCTCATCCCCAGGGTCAAAGAGCATATAGCTGGCCACACTCTGCACGGCATTCTTGATATCATTCACTGTGCAGAGAGAGAGAGAGAGAGAGAGAGACCAAATTAGTGGGAGAAGCACTTCATTCACCCATTGTCTGTTGGCAAGAGCATGAACGCAGCTCCCACCTTCATATCAAGGATGACTGGTGGGCAGCATTTGGTGATTTTGCTATTTTATATTGTTTCGATTGGTTTGTGTTTTTTTGCAGAAATGTGCTGGTCACGTCTTTGGGGGGCTTTGGCCCAAAACGCAGTATATAAATAAGTCATAATGTAACATACACATCATTTGGGAGCGAGGTAAAGGGGTAAGGGAGAAGAGAAAGACAGGGATAAAAATGTCCTCTAGGCCAGCTGGCATGTTGTGAGCCAAGATCTAGCCCCCAAAGTAATTTTAGCCCCAGCTGGCCCTACCGATAGGTTACTCTGGGTGTTCTAATCCCACCCCTGCCCCCGGCAACGTCTCAGTCTATGACGTCACCTAGATGCAACTGTGGATATATCTGCAACATATGTTTAAAGCACTATTATACCACTTTAACAGCCAAAGCATTCTGGGAACTGGAGTTTGTTAATGGTGCTGAGAGCTGTCAGGAGAACCTACAGTGGTACAGTGGTGCCCCGCAAGACGAACGCCTCGCAAGACGAAAAACCCGCTAGACGAAAGGGTTTTCCGTTTTGGAGGCGCTTCGCAAAACGAAAGCCCATAGGGAAATCTCCGGTCCGCGAAGCCTGGGCGCGCTGATCTCAGCGCGCGCAGGCTTCGGCATGCCGGCAACTCTCCCGCGAGCAGCGGCAGCGCTGCCGCTGCTCGCGGAGAGGTCCGCGAGGCCTGGGCGCGCTGATCTCAGCGCGCGCAGGCTCGGCATGCCGGCAACTCTCCGCAAGCAGCGGCAGCGCTGCCGCTGCTCGCGGAGAGTCCGCGAGCCTGGGCGCGCTGATCTCAGCGCGCGCAGGCTTCGGCATGCCGGCAACTCTCCGCAAGCAGCGGCAGCGCTGCCGCTGCTCGCGGAGAGGTCCGCGAAGCCTGGGCGCGCTGATCTCAGCGCGCGCAGGCTTCGGCATGCCGGCAACTCTCCGCGAGCAGCGGCAGCGCTGCCGCTGCTCGCGGAGAGGTCCGCGAGCCTGGGCGCGCTGATCTCAGCGCGCGCAGGCTTCGGCATGCCGGCAACTCTCCGCGAGCAGCGGCAGCGCTGCCGCTGCTCGCGGAGAGGTCCGCGAAGCCTGGGCGCGCTGATCTCAGCGCGCGCAGGCTTCGGCATGTCGGCAACTCTCCGCAAGCCGCGGCAGCGCTGCCGCTGCTCGCGGTGAGGTCCGCGGGGCGTGGGCGCGCTGTTCTCTGCGCGCGCCGGGGTCGGCGTGGCGGCAACTCTCCGCAAGCTGCGGCAGCGCTGCCGCTGCTTGCGGAGAGGTCCGCGAAGCCTTGGCTGGACAGCTTTTGAAGGCAGGTGGGGGGACAAGACTTTCGCCCCCGCCAGCCTTCAGAAGAGGTCCAGGACCTCTTCTGAAGGCTGGCGGGGGCAAAGTCTTTGTCCCCCTGCCTGCCTTCCCAGGGGCTTTAGATTGCCCCGGACAGCGGAGAAGTCCTCCGCTGTCCCGGGGCAATTTTAAAATGCCGCCCGCCAGCATTTTAAGATCGCCCCGGACAGCGGAGAAGCCCTCCGCTGTCCCGGGGTTTTTTAAAATGCTGGGGTGGGAAGAAAAGCCCTTGTCGTCCCCCCCAGCCTTCAGAAGAGGTCGGGGGACAGACTGTCCCCGGACCTGGTCTGAAGTCGGTTTCCCTAGGAACGCATTAATTGATTTTCAATGCATTCCTATGGGAAACCGTGCATCGCAAGACGAAAAACTCGCAAGAAGAAAAAACTTGCGGAACGAATTAATTTCGTCTTGCGAGGCACCACTGTACCTCAGGTTACATACGCTTCAGGTTACAGACTCTGTTAACCCAGAAATAGTGATTCAGGTTAAGAACTTTGCTTCAGGATGAGAACAGAAATCGTGCTCTGGTGGTGCGGCAGCAGCAGGAGGCCCCATTAGCTAAAGTGGTGCTTCAGGTTAAGAACAGTTTCAGGTTAAGAACGGACCTCCGGAACGAATTAAGTACTTAACCTGAGGTACCACTGTATTTGTATCGCAGAACTACACTTCCCAGAGTTTCATGGATACAGGGATCGACTGTCAAACCACTCTGGGAATTGCAAAAACATCAGAGAGATTGGGATGCCACAATGAGTGGAGGAATAGGAAACTCTAATTCTCTTAAGATGTTCGGAATCTGATAAACCTGGTGGACTATTTTTATCTTCTGTTATGCTGGTGGCATTCTGCAGCTTGGGTGATTTTTCGTTTTTCCTTTAATTTTTTTTTTTTTAATAAAAAAAATATACTGCTTGATTCCAGTAAAGCCTCTAAGCAGCTTACAAGAAAGATTACAATAATAAAAAGCCAGTTAATGCGGCAGAGGAAATTCTCATATACGCATTTAACGTGGGTGAAAATATTTTCTTGATTGTTTCTTGTTGTTTTTGTTTCGATGGAAAAATCACTTAAAAAAATAAAAGCCAGGTTTTAAAAATATATATATTTTTAAAAAAAATACATTTAAAGATAAGCTTAATTAACAGTAAAAAAAAAACAAAAACGAAACACACATGTCAACATCTAAGGCACAGTGAAGGTGTCAAGTGGCAGGGAGTTCCAAAGTGTAGATGCTGCCACACTGAAAAGATTGATTACTTACAAGTGCAGAATGAGCATTTTGGTACAGTGCCAGTTCCGCAGATTGAAATGGAACGTGTGGGGCACAGGACAAGAAAGCTCTGCCCTGGGATAGGGGCGAGGAGAAGAGGGAATGCTGGCCAGATCCTAAACTAGAGAATTCCACAACAATCTGCTAGTTACCCAACCAACCCTCCCCGAAGCAACATTCCTCCCCACCCTGAGGACTCACACTTGTAGTACGCAAACTGAAGGTAGTGATACATCGTGGCCACAAACTTCTCCACAAAGTAGCCGCCTACATTTGGGATCAAGTCGGTTTCGCAGTCTACTTTGCACTGCAGGACATCGACAAAGTGATCTGGAGGGTGGGTGGGTAGAGGAAGGAAGGAATCCACAAGGTTAAACATTTATATCAACTGATGGTTGCCAGGTAGCTAGGAAGCTCCAGAGATTTTATCACCTTTTGTAACCATTTACGGACTTGTCTTCTGCAGCTAACTTTTAATTTGCTCAACAGGCAAATGTTAGCAGCTGTAACAGCCTCCCCACTTTTCCGGAAGCCCAGGTATACTTCCCCATACCTAACCCCACAGTTTCCACTTTCCTTGGATATGTCTGGGTTTGGCTCCCATTTAGCTCTCTCAAAGGACTGAGCCAAGTTGAGACCTTGGACCAAGTCATAGTTTACCATGACAAGAATGAATGATCACACATAAGTTTGTGGATGCCTGTAAAAGGTAAAGGACCCCTGGACGGTTAAGTCCAGTCAAAGGTGACTATGGGGTTGCGACGCTCATCTCACTTTCAGGCCGAGGGAGCCGGCATTTGTCCACAGACAGCTTTCCGGGTCATGTGGCCAGCACCACTAAACTGCTTCTGGCGCAATGGAACACCATGACGGAAACCAGAGTTTACCTTCCCGCCACAGCGGTACCTATTTATCTACTTGCACTGGTGTGCTTTCGAACTGCTAGGTTGGCAGGAGCTGGGACAGAGCAACGGGAGCTCACTCCAATGCGGGGATTCGAACTGCCAACCTTCCAATCAGCAAGCCCAAGAGGCTCAGTGGTTTAGACCACAGCACCACACTGGACGCCACCAGAAACAACCACCAGGCTAATGAGAGCTCAGAATAGAACAAGGACAGACTGCCATGCCTACCTGAGCTGACCTTCCCTCAGTGGCCTTCCTTTGTTGTGATGGCAGCTGTCACTGCCCTTACCTTTAATGGCTGCCCCTTCCCTGGTGCCCTCACCTGCAATGGCGGGGTAGAAATCCTTAAATTCACGAAGTTCGTAGCTGCCTTCGCAGCCAGTCAAGCAGTTCTCGTAGGTCTTGTAGTACTGAGACAGGGCATGCTCCATGTCAGCAATGCTGCTCCGGAAATCTCCAGCGTTGTAAAGTTTCACCGCTCTCACAAAAACAGTCTGAAAACAGGGAGGAGGGAGACTGGCAGGTCAGGTTAAACAAAGAAGCCCACAGACCTGGAACTTAACAAGGAATGGCCATAAAATGGTGAAGCCCCATTGAGCCTTCTTTTTCTTCTCTTAATTTAAAATAGGTTTAGGCTGTCATTTTGTAAGTCCAAAGGCCTTCCAAGGCGGACAGCACAAGATAAAAACATACATATATATTATTATTCTTTATTCATTCACAAAGCATTTTCTGTGAGGTGTTCTGAAGGGATCTGCAGCGTACAGAACACAGCAAATAGATAAACCAGTGGCAAACCAGAAAACAGCCAGCCAGCCCCCAATTATTGAAATTCGGTAACAAAACTAAAACCAACAACGGCCCAACAATGTAGCCTGTTTTAAAAATGCTGAGTTGGTTGCCAGTTTGTTTCTGGGCCCATTCAATGTGCTCACATTAGTATTTTAGAGCCCTAAATGATGTAGATCCCAAATATCTAAATACCTTCTTCCTCACAGAGCCTATCAGGTGTTAAGATCGACAGAGGAGGCTCTCTTGGTAGTTGGGGGGTTGGCAACCCTGAGCCCGCTTTAAACATTTTTGCCTCCACATGGAAATAACATGGAAAGGGGGTTCATGGTGCCTTCTAGATCCCAGATGTTCATTGGATTCTAACTTCTCAGAGTTAGTTTTCTGGGTTCCTCAAAAAGTACCATGACATTTAAGCACCTTATGTAGTTTTCTCCCCAAGTTGCCCTTATTAACTCAAGCTTACTTGGTCTGTGGTTGCTTTTCAGAATTTTAGACAGATTCTAGCCAATGTAAGGACAGATACTGTAGATAGATAAGAACTTGACTTTGTATGCAACACAGTTTTTGACAAAACTGAATAAATGCACTCAAGTCCACTATCATATTAAGCTGGGAGAGGAATCCATTTATTGAATGAACCGTCATTCTCCAATATCAAATTGCCTTCCTGCACTTCTGCCACTTGTGGGCAGAGGGAAAATGTTCTCTTTGTTCATTACACATCCAACTCTATCCAGCTCCCTATTTTGTTCATTTTCCAGCCAGATAAGCACTACAGATTGGTTCAGTCTTCTTTTTGGCTCACAGAAGCTTGCAGAAACCAGCAGGCCCACCCTCCATAACAATGGGCACCTTTCGCCTGCCACAAAAACACCTGATTCTTTGCCCCCTTGTACATCCAAGCCCTTGAAGGCAGGGATGGGGAACTAGAAGCCTTCCAGATGTTGTTGGGACTCCAATTCCCATCAGCCTCAGCCAGCATGGCCAATGGCAAGGGATGATGGCAGCTGGAGTCCAGGAGACTTTCGGAGCTCTCCTATAAGGCTTCCAACTGTGGTCTCGCTCCAGGAAATAAGCTCCCTCTTTCCCCAGCCACCCCTGAAAACCTCCCTTGCTCCATTCACCTCATAGGGCTGTGCTTCCAAGTCTATGAGGTACTCGTCCACATCGACCATAGTTTTGTAATAGTTCATGTACTTTTGGGTCATCTCGTGCTTGGGGTTCTTCTGCAGGAATGTATGAGCAGCCGACACAGCTTTTTCAATCTTATTTGCCTAGGGAAAACAAGGGAAAGTAGTTCAAGGAGAGGGTTTCATGCTTTCCAGACCCAGGGCCCTAACCTGCATTTGGTGGGTCCACTTCCAAATTTATTTTACCATATATGGCAATGCTGCTGTTTAATTTGGCTATTCCCGCATATTCCATGACCTTGTACTGCCACTCTTCTACTGTTGGCAATTGTTGTTGTTTCCAATTCGACAACAGGGCGATGAAACATTCCAAAAAGAATGGGGAAAATTTATGTTATACATAGGATAAGGTGAAATAGTGAAATCAGTAGAATGGAAATAAATGTCATAACGGGAAATTAAAAGAAACTTTATTGGATGCTAAATGACAATATGAACTAAAATGTAAAATACAATCAAGGTAACTAATTGTATCTGTAAATGAATATAGACAAACAACAAGACGTGTATATACAGAAAGATTTATTTGTATATTGACACTGTACGGATAAAGTTGAAAGAAGAACAATATACAAAATCGATAAAGACAATGCGAAAAACTTAGAGACGACATAAAAAAGCCAGAAGAAGGAAGGAGGGAAGTCAACTCTTAGGAGTAAATGTAAATGTAAAGTAAGGTGTATATGTATAATATGTAATCATAAAATCAATAAAGATTATCTTAAAAGATAAAATGCTGTTGTTGCGATCAGGATTAGACCAGGTCGTCATTCAGCGAAAGGTGCTAACCTACCACCTGAAGACATATGGTTTAAGGCCCTCCAGATGTTATTGGATTCCAGCTCCCATCAGTCCCTGCTGGCATGACCTATGCAAAGGCAATTGTGGTTCTCAAGACTAGGGACTGGAACAAACTTTTGAAAATTTTCACTAAATATTACGCAGTTTGCACCCTCTTTGAAACAAGCACAGACTGTAAGGGATTATGTGTGCACTTGTGGGATTGCATTGCCCCAGATCCTTATTTTTCTGAAATTTACCTAAATGTTTTTGAAACAATTGGTCCCCTTTTTATTTTTTCCATACAAAATATTGTTGCTAGCTTCAGAACACAACCAATCTCCATTCCTTTCTGAAGGGGAGGTCGGGCTGTTTTTGGTCTAGAAGCAAATATAGTCGTAGCTTGGAAATTGAACAGAATCTGTTCTGGAAGTCCATTTGACTTCTGAAACATTTGGAAACCAAAGTGTAGCTTCTGACTGGCTGCAGGAAGTTCCTGCAGCCAACTGGAAGCAGCGGAAGCCCCGTTAGAGGTTTGGCTTCCAAAAGAACGTTCGAAAACCGGAACACTCACTTCCGGGTTTGCGGCATTCGGGAGCCAGAACATTCGACTCCCAAGGTGTTCGGGAGATGAGGTACACCTGTACCAAGCAATGTCTTGGTTTGCATCTTACAGCCTAGAAATGGGCTCTTTTCTTCTTGGGCAGGGGAAGAGGGGGAAAAAAGAAAGAATGTTATGCTCTTCATGAAATACTAATGGAGTGTGATCACATAGCAGAGCCATTATCTGGAACAAAAGTGTCCCCTCTGAGATCATGCAGGCGAATAAAAGGACGGTGAAACCTGAGACACAACATAAAAAAATAAGTTACAGAAAAAGAGATAATGGCTTGCATACCTATGTGCTCAGAGGAAAGCAATCCCTACAATCTGGGAGTTTTAAAAAGCAGACTTCCATACCCATTAAACTAAAAGCCCCTGAGTCAGCAGCACAGAACTGCCAGCCTGCCATCCAGTGCCAACACTTGAAGTTAAAAAACACATTTGCCACCAACAGTTGCATTCTCTCTCTCTCTCTCTCTCATCTGAAAAGTTCCACTAACTCCCATTCATGTCTGCTGTTCTCATCATGGTGTCAAATGCCAGGATGGTGACGTGGGAAGGAAGGCTCACCACTGGGAGCATCTCATCTGTTCCAGACGGAAGAAAGGAGCTACTGTATTCAGGGTGCAGAAAAGCACAGGGACAACCTACTATCTCTGCTGGTTTTCTTGGATTCTTCTCCAGGCCATTTGGTGGCACCGGGAAGAGACATGCGGATTTTCAAAACCTTTTTCTTTTCTTTTGCCCTCACCTGTCTAAAACAGCCCTCTCTTTAGCCAATTCTGCCCTCGCATTTTCTTTTTAAAAAATGTATCTCTGCAAATTTTCTGGTGCAAGTTTTTTTTTGAGCGAGAGGAAGTTTCTAATGAGGTCTAGAAACTGGCTTTTTTTTTAAAAAAAAGTAAAATATTAAAAACCTAAGTTCTTTCCAATAGTAGTGAAGCTGACTTTACAAAGGCCATATACGACCTGGTTTTAAAAAGTCCCATTTGCACCTGCATGGACTTCTTGACAATACAGCCATACCCTGGTTTTCAAACAGCTTAGTTCTCGAATGTTTTGGCTCCTGAATGCTGCAAACCCAGAAGTGACTGTTCCGGTTTGCGAACTATTTTTGGAAGCCGAATGTCCTACGGGGCTTCCGATCGGCTGCGGGAGCTTCCTGCAGCCAATCAGAAGCCGTGCTTTGGTTTCCGAACATTTTGGAAGTTGAATGGACTTCCGGAATGGATTCCGTTTGACTCCCAAGGTCAACGACTGTACTGGCAATGAGGCCGGGAATACAATGGAGAAGGGGCCCCATCCACAGTACCCTGCCCTTCCAACAGTTTCCTCTCCATGGGGCATCTGAATACACTTTGCGGGTGGATAGCAGAAGGGGCTTAATTTGAATCAGAAGGGTCGTGGGTGAAAGCTATGCATCTAGGAGGTCCCACCTTGAGATGCCAGAAACCCAGGACCTTCTGCATGCAAATCCCTGAGCTACAGTCCTTCCCAAAGGTCAGCAGCAAAGAGGCGAGAGCAGTGCTAGAAACTCAGATATATAAGCTAATTGCCAAATGGCACCTTAAACCTAGGTTGCCTTCCTTCGGTTCCTTGAAAAGGAATTGAAAAGACTGTTCATGTACACTACTAGAGCTGCAAGGATGCTGCTTCCCCAGAGTTGGAAAGGTGACAAGATGCCTACGAAGGTGGACCGGCAGATGAAATGAATGGACTGTGAAGAGATGGCAAGACTGAAAGGGAAAATCAGAAATCAGGAGGATCGAAACTTCAACAGAGAATGGGACAAATATAGATTGTATTTAAAAGAACACTGTAAACACTTTAACTCTTTGGCAGGCTTTAAATAACCCTTTCAGTGTTACAAAGACTATGGGGGAATGTAATTTGGATGAATTTATAATATGCAGTTGACAAAGGTATTGAAAGAACCCATGGAATGGAGGGGGGAAGTCCTAAGATTCGGAAGAATCTTGTTTTAATATTAATATCCACAAGAATTTCAGTTGTGTGAATGAATTTGTAAAACCAAATAAAAATTATTTTAAAAAATAAATAAACCTAGGTTGCGGTCGCCACAGCAGAATGCCTAGGCACCTTTTTTGCATTGTGATGATGATAATGATGATTTTCTATACCACTTTATATTTTAAAGGAAAAAAATCTCAAAGCAGTTTACAACACATTAAAACCTCAAATAAAACAATCCAGAATAAAACAAATTCAAGCTTCAAAGAAGAAAATAATTCAGAGCCTTTTCCTTTTGCTCACCATATTTATTCACCTACTTACTTTATATAGCTGCCCCATAGCAGAACTACTCTAGGAAGCCAGTGTGGTGTAGTGGTTAGCGTGTCAGACCAGAACCTAGGAGATCAGGGTTCAAATCCCCACTCAAGTCATGAAGCTCACTGGGTGACCTTGGGCCAGTCATTGCCTCTTAGCTGAACCTACCTCGCAGGGTCATTGTAGAGATTAACTGAGGGGGGCAGGTTGAACCATGCACACCTTGGAGAAAATGGTGGGATATAAATGCAATAAATAAGCTCTTCCGCTTACTTGCTTAAGAGAGCTGGAGAGGCCAGCTAGATGGAGCTGTCAGCTGCTAACCTGGCATCCAAAGATTTCCACGGGGTCTCAAATGGACCTGCGCCAGTCACTAATTTCTAATACTAGGCAAGAGAAACACAATCCAACACCCACCCGCTCCGTCTGTGTGTTTTCCAGCAGGTGCTGGAGAACCTGGATAGGAGAGAGTGTGGAAACCCCCCCCCCCAGCAACCCACAATGAGGCCTACTGCCCTCCTGAAACCAGCCCACCACACCTCCAGGCTCCTCTAGACCATGGGTAGGCAAACTAAGGCCCAGGGGATGGATCCGGCCCAATCGCCTTCTCAATCCAGCCCGCGGATGGTCGGGGAATCAGCGTGTTTTTACATGAGTAGAATGTGTGCTTTTATTTAAAATGCATCTCTGGCTTATTTGTGGGGCATAAGAATTCATTCATTCCCCCCCCCCAAATATAGTCTGGCCCCCCACAAGGTCTGAAGGAGAGTGGATCGGCCCCCTGCTGAAAAAGTTTGCTGACCCCTGCTCTAGATCATGTGATGTACATTGCAAGAGCACACCCAAAAATACACCAAAATCTGGCATCTTCCCAAAAATCTAGCCGCTTTCCCAGCATCACTTTGGTACACAGACAAAGGGTTAAACAGCCTGAAAACTCCACCAAAAGAGACAGCCAAGGAACAAGAAGTCCAGGGAAGATCAGAAGTGAATCTGATCATCTCGCCGCAACTGTGTCCACCTCCTCCAGGAGTCTGAAAGCTGTGGGACGTGGCATCTGAAATGCCTCTGGTCCAGGAAAGCCAGGGGAGGCTACCTCATTGGTGAAGGAGATTTGCGGGGTGGGGGGAGAAAGAGAAGGGGAGGAGAGACCAGAAGCTGCTGGCAAAAGGCACTGCTTTGCTCATCTAACGCTCCTCCTGGAGGCCCAGATTTAAAGAGCCAGGCTGTCTGGATTAAGCTACTTAAAAGGGAAAGGGTCCTGGGAGTGCCGGGAGAAGGAAAAAGAGGCAAAGAAAAGGAGGAAGTGAACAGTTTCCTCACTGGCAATGTAGCACCTTTCGGGTTTGGAAAGGCAGGGATGGGGAATAAGATGCACACAGCACACTGTTCAACAGTTCACAAAAATCCCAGCACAGAAAGCACAAACTCCTCATCTGCAGATTGTCACGTCGGAGGCTGTTGCGAAGCCTCCCAAATGGAAGGCTGTCAGAGGAAGTGACTGTTTCACGCTAATACCAAGTGACGTGGGCTTTGAACGGGATACGTACGAAACTTGAATGAAGGATGACTTGGGAGTGCTGAGAGCAGTGGGGCTTGTTGGGGGTGGGGGGCTTGCTTGAGGCAGGTCTGTCTCTCGCTCTTGACTTGCTCAAAGGGCCCCAAGCAAAGGAATGTCTTGAGAGGGAAACAGCACACATCTTGAACTTCCACATTAGAAATACTGTACAGCGGTACCTTGGTTCTCGAACTTAATCTGTTCCAGGAGTCTGTTCGACTCCTGAAACAGTTCGAAAACCAAGGCGTGGCTTCCAATTGGCTGCAGGAGCTTCCTGCACTCGAGCAGAAGCCGCGTCGGAGGTTTGGCTTCCGAAAAGGTTCATAAACCAAAACACCTACTTCTGGGTTTGCAGTGTTCAGGAGCCGATTTGTTCAACCACTAAGCCGTTTGGGAACCAAGGTACCACTGTACTGTGAGCCTGTACTGTTACATTGTAACACATAATGATTATTCATTAGGCAGTGTGTGAACACGTGTTGAGGAATCATAGCCTGCGAAGACCATGAAGTATGGTGCTCTGGGCGGGGAATCTACATGAAACAAATCACACAAGTGAGTTTTTCATTCAGGGGACAGGAACTGGCTATAGTTCCTTGACACAGTAACCTTTCCACATGCAGGATTCAGTATCTTTGCAGAGCAGAAAGTACCTTCCCTGAAAGCTGGATAGCTCAGTTGGTTGGAGCGCGTGAAGGAAGGCCATAATATGAGAAGCAACCCATAGATAAGGCTCCCTGATGTGCATTGAAGGGGCCGGCAGAAGTAACACGCCTTGGATGTTTTCTACTGGTCACTCTGAACCCCAGATCCGAAGAAGCTATGGAAACATTAGCTGAGAAAGAGGCTCCGGTGCAAACCTGGAGGCCGAACAGGAGCTTATTTTGCTCTTAGAAATATTGAAGGGGTTCTGGGAACACAAGAGTACTGAGAAGGCCCTTAGATCCTGTGTGGTGGCATCTTTTAATGAAATGCATTGTCTCCAGAGGAAGAGATGTGAAAACCCACATCTGGAAAGAACTCCCTTTGTCTAGAAACTTTTTCTGCCTAATATCTGATGGTTGGGAACTCTCTGTAGCCAACAGGGAAAGAAAGGTGCATTGTTTCATCTCAGGACTATTCCAGTCAGTTCTTCTTTCCTATATTTCAGGGGTAAGATCTGCCCACTGAAAACAGATGTCCTGCCTCTGCTTTTACTAAAACACACCAGACAGTCAACCACCTCTGGGGACCATCAATACTTCTTACAATGCTTACAACAGGGGTCAGCAAACTTTTTCAGCAGGGTGCCGGTCCATTGTCCCTCAAATCTTTTGGGGGGCCAGACTATATATTTTTTTTTGGGGGGGGGGGAGAAATTCCTATGCCCTACAAATAACCCAGAGATGCATCTTAAATAAAAGGACACATTCTACTCATGTAAAAACACGCTGATTCCTGGACAGTCCATGGGCCGGATTTAGAAGGCGATTGGGCCGGATCTGTCCCCCGGGCCTTAGTTTGCCTACCCATGGCTTACAATATTTAGAGCATAGAATTGTAGGGCTGGAAGGGATCTTGGGGATCATCCAACCCTCTGCAATGCAGGAATATACAGCTGTCCCATACGGGAGGATCGAACCTGAAACCATGGCATTATCAGCCCTGTGCCCAAACCAAGTGAGCTACCCAGACTGTCTACCATATGCTTTGAGTATTATTTTTGTATATCGCTTAGATGTTGTTCTGTTTAGAAGTGATTTTAATTAACTAATATTTTGATTGAAACGCAATTAATTGACATGGTTTCCAAGGAAGCCTCGAGACGTCCCCCTGCGCGCGCTCCCCATTAGCTCACCTTGAAGAGCGCGTAGTGCAGGTACTGGTAAGGGGTGCGGCGCTGGAAGTCGCGCAGCGTGTCTGCGGGCGGGTAGCTGAGCTGGAAGGCGGGCAGGCTGCGCTTGCACCTCCGCAGGCACGAGGCGCGCTGCAGGACGAGCCCGAAAAGCTCCATCTCCCGGCGCCACTCATCCGCCGCGCCCCCGGCCGGCTCTCCAAACTCCGCGCCGGGCCGTGCGCCCTCGCCGAGCGCAGCAGCAGCGGCGGCGCCTTTCTCGTCTTCTCCATGCGCCGGGGTGCCCTGGACGCCCTCTGCAGGCTCTCCAAAAACGGCACCCTCTCCAAACTTCTCGCTGGCGGCGCACTCCTTGTGGCAGTGCGCCTCGCTGTCCCGGAGCAGGCGATGGAGGCGCAGGCTCGCCTCCAGGTAGCGGACGCTCTCCCGCCAGTTCTCGGCCTCGTACTGCTCCAGCGCGTAAGCGTAGGCGCTCTGCAGAGGCATCAGCTCGGCTTCGGGGAAGCCGCGGAAGCTGTACTTCTCATACTGCGCGCCGCCTTCAGGCGCCGCCGTGGCCAGGAGCACGAAAGCCAGCAGGAGCCCCCGGCTTCGCCGCTCCATGCCGCCCGCGCAGCCGGCGGCTCGGTGCTCGAGAGCTGCTGCCCAGCCGCTTGGAGGCCCATCGGGAGTCTCCGGGAAGCAGGGGGAAGGAAGGAAGGCGGCGCGGGACAGCCCAGGCGGATTCCGCAGGGTCTTAGCGCGGCCCGGGATCAGTTGGGGGCTCCGCCCACCAGTTTCTTCCTCTGACTCCATGAGTAGGGCTGGAGTTCTGGAAAAAGTGAGTCCGATCTACACTATACGATCCCGCGCCCTGAACTGAGGCATCCCAGAAGCTAGCGAGTTGACGTTGCCTGTTGTGGGAGAGACCAAGGTTCTCTTCTCCAAGACCTTATCTTGCTGCTGGCATCATTCATGACGGATCGATAGATCATATTTGTACCCCAATCCATTCAGAACAATGTGTATGAATGACAAACAAAAAATGCAATGCGAAGTTACCTCACAGCCTAACACAACAAGCAAGCTGAAAACAGCCAGGGAAAAGCAAGTCAACAGCAATGTTGTCAACCCAAAGTCTAAAGGAAGAGGCTTACAAACAGATAAAGAACTATATGACTTTGAGAAGCCCTGTATAGGAAAGTTTTTAATGTTTGATGTTTTATTGTGCTTTTATGTTTTGCTGGAAGCTGCCCAGAGTGGCTGGGGAAAACCCAGTCAGATGGGCGACATATATTTAAACAAAATGGTAGCAGCTCTGTGAGGGGAAAATTACAGTGCCAGGATTTCATGCACACTGAATGCACTTTAAATGTATGCTGTGGATCTGCCCTGGGATTGGTGGGGCAGTGCCCCTTTTTGCACAATTGACCAGCCTCCACTGCACCCCATAGGCAAGCCAGGTGCTTCCAGACTGTGGCTGTTTTGCAGGTGGGATTCAATTGCAAATCCAGGCTGCACCAGTAAACTGGACCTAGTGCTCTTCTGCACCACAGACACAGCAACTAATAAAAGCAGAATGATGTGTGGGTGGTATAATAATAATAATACATTAATATACACCTGCAACTAATGCACTATGATTGATCCATGATGTGTTGCAGAACATATTTGCCCCCAAACACCTCTGGATATACCTCAAGCAGTCCAGTTCGTGACTATCGCCTGCATATTTATTTTATTTCTAAAAAAGTATTACCGTGGTGCATAACAGCCTGTAGAGGGCTTCCTGGAGAGAAAGAGCACCTTCATTTGGGGCCTTCATTAGAAAACTGCTCCAAAAGAAAACTGCTGTGTAAGGGGCAAGTGGCCGTTCCGGCACTAGGAGCTGAATGAAATAGGATTCTTCTTGCCAGGATTTTTTGTGCATTAGAAATCATTTCATTTGCTGTTTTTCAGACATATTTCCTGCTTTTAAAGTTTTTACAAACTGTAGGCTGTTGTTCCAGCTCAGTGGATGGGGTTGTAAAAACTTGTTTGCGAGCTCAAAAAGCTGCTGCCATATTCAAGATGGACAGCTCCACAAACAACTGCTTGGAGGGGGGATGGAGAAGTTTGGACAAATCCTAACAAAGATTTGAGCACCTGGAATACTTTGGGTCAGGGTATCTAGTGTGGTGACCGCCATGTCTGACCACTGGCTCTCCTGGCTGGGACTTATGGCAGAGTTGGCATCCCAACATTCCAACAATATTGGCACCACATCGTGTTTTTAATATTCTGTTGGAGGCCGCCCAGGGTGGCTGGGGAAACCCTGTTGGATTTACTAACAAACCCAGCCAGATGGGCAGGGTATAAAATAACAACAACAACCACAACCCTCTGACACACACACACACACACACACACACACACAGGCTCGCTGCCTCCAGAGAAGTCTGTGAATTGCATCTTCTTTGCTTTCTGCATCAGCCATCCAAATATGTGGCTGTAGCGTTGCCTTGATCTCGCTTTTTAATAGTTTCTGGATGGAAAAAAAAATGTCAGTTTGAAAAATGCACTGATCCTAAAGTCCAGGAAAGAGATGGACGACGTCCTCTGCTGTACTCTTAATAGGAACTTGAAAACTAGGTCAGAGAGTTTGTATTGTCTGAGGGCAAAGCGTGGTTCCAGTTCCTGGCATGATGTACAGAGCTCCCATCTGTCCCTTATTTTAAGGTATGGTAGGCAGCATAGGGTTTTTTTAGCCCCTTCCTGCTTGAAAGCCACAGCCCGGTGGAGCATATTTTAATAGTCTCTTATTCTTTCCAATTTACGATCTGGCAGGCAGAATACAAAACAGCTTTCCTTGCAAACACTGCCTCCTCCTGCAGAAATCCTGCATTAAATTGCTTTTATCAAGCCCTTGCATTATAGAGGGTTTAAAATCATCCCGACTTCTCTGACTGCCTTTGCTGCAGGCGCAGGTCACAGCACTCTTGAGCGCTTGTAACATATGCATCCCAGTTCTATGCAGGTTTACTTAGAAGTAAGTCCCACTGACTTGGTTTTGTTTTTTTAGAATATTTTGATTAATTTGTTGTGAAATAACATTGATCAAGTCCAACAAAACCTGTAGATTGTCGCGTGCTTATATCAATCACTTGTAAAGAGAAGATTTGAGTGGGGAGACTGTCAGATACCTGGACTATTGAACACATCATCAAGGCCACAAATTGGTGGGGCCCCTCCTTCACCTCTTAGATAGATAGAAGGACAAAGCCTAAGTTGAGTTTGCAGTAATGTGACCTGGAAGCAAAGCAGCAAGCAGGAGAGTCTGGTTGAAGAGAGAGCTGCATTGGCTCCCAGTACGTTTCCGAGCACAATTCAAAGTGTTGGTGCTGACCTTTAAAGCGCTAAATGGCCTTGGTCCTGTATACCTGAAGAGCGTCTCCACCCCCATCGTTCAGCCCAGACACAGATCCAGTGCCAAGGGCCTTCTGGCGGTTCCCTCATTGTGAGAAGTGAGATTACAGGGAACCAGGCAGAGGGCCTTCTCGGTAGTGGCGCCCGCCCTGTGCAACGCCCTCCCATCAGATGTCAAGGAAATAAACAACTACCTGACTTTTAGAAGACATCTGAAGGCAGCCCTGTTTAGGTAAGTTTTTAATGTTTGATGTTTTATCATGTTTTTAATATTCTGTTGGGACCCGCCCAGAGTGGCTGGGGAGGCCTGGCCAGACAGGCGGGTATAAGTAATTTATTTATTTATTAATTTATTATTATTATTATTATTATTATTATTATTATTATTATTATTTTGTTCCAGTTTTCCAGATACAGTTCCTAATTTCTGGCACTGGTACCTCATAAATCACTGCCCACATCTTGCCTTTGTGGAAGGTTTTGGTGGTTGTCTTTTCAATTATCTTTGTCAAGGTGCACTTCCTGTGCCTGCAAATTATCCTTTCTGATACTCAACCCCCTCCTTAAGTTTCTAGATGGGGTAGCTTAGTTGTTAAGACTCTTAATCTCAGAGTTGCAGGTTCGAGCCCCACGTTGGGCAAAACATTCTTGCATTGCAGGGGGTTGGACTAGATGACCCTTGTGGTTTCTTCCACCTCGACGGTTCTTTGAGTCTCTCAGGGGGAGGGTTGGTGTGTCTTGGCTTGTGCCCACCTAGAAGCAAAGAGTGGGCTTATCTGTGGAAGGCTGCACAAAGACCCTTATGGGATGCCAATGGAACAAACACAGACAAAAAAGGTTGTGGTTTTGTGTAGGTGGAGTTGGATTTTGTGGGAAACTGAGGATCAAGTCATGAAGCAAACAGAGTGAACTTGGGCAACTGGTCAGACTGGGTTTTCCCTCTTCTCATCTCATATATAGAGGGGTACCTGGGCTCCCCTGCATCCTTGGCAAGGAGATGTATCAGTGCCCCCCCAAGAAAATACCAGTGGTATTTGACTCCTACTAAGCTGACAAACCCCTTCATGGATCACTGCCTTGCCGTGGCGAAGGGGCTTGAAGAACTCAGAGAAGCTATGAGCTATGCCGAGCAGGGCCACCCAAGATGGACAGGTCATAGTGGAGAGTTTTGACCAAACATGATCCACCTGGAGCAGGAACCGGTAAGCCACTCCAGTATCCCTGCCAAGAAAACTCCATGGACAAAGACAGCAGGCAAAAAGTGCCTGGCGTGCTCTGGTCCATGGAGTCACGAAGAGTCGGACACGACTAAACGACTAAACAACAACAACAACAAAAGCTGGCAAAAATGTATAGCACAAGTACGAATGTCTGTTGGAAATGTAAAGAAAAAGAAGGTACTTTTTATCATATGTGGTGGACTTGTAAGGTGGTAAAAGCTTTTTGGGAAACAATATATAATGAAATGGGGGGAAAAATGTCTAGAATGACCTTTGTTAAAAAACCAGAAGCTTTCTTATTAGGAATTACAGGTACCAATATCCCAAAGGACCAGAAAAAGACTTTTTATGTATGGAACAACAGCTGTTCGGATGCTACTAGCCCAGGGATGGAAAGAAGACAAAGTCCCGACCAGAGAAGAATGGCAAACCAAGCTGATGGACCATGCTAAAATGGCAAAGCTGACTAGAAAACTCAGGAATCAAGAGGATAAAAACTTTACAAGAGAATGGGGAAAATGTATAAGCTATTTAAAAGACCATTGTAAGCATTGGCAGGATTTTGATTTCACTTGTAGTGTAACAATTACCATGGAAAATATGGATTGATATAATAGTTACAGTTTGGAAGAAGATGCAGTTTTAAATGATTAAAACGGGACTCCAGGGAGGGGGTGGGGGGAAATCCTGAGATTCGGAGGAATCTCTAAAATTTTTTGAATTTTTTATAATTTTGTATTGTAAAATCAAATAAAAATGATTTCAAAAAAGAAAAGGACAAAGTTCAATAACCACCAATGACTCTTAAACTGGGCGTTTAACAGTACCATCCTATAAATGTCTAGTCTAGCCCTCCAGGACTTCCGACTGGGACATTACCAATTTGCTTCACTGGTTCTGCCCTCTTCCCCAGTTTGTGGAATCACGAGCCGCTCAGGCAGAGATAGCAGTGGCACAGCTTTATTGGCACAGACACGCAAGAGGAACGGGTCTGGGCATTTACAAAACGCTCAAAACTTATTTAGAATCTGCATCGCTGCCTCTTCCTTCCCCGCCTGGATTGGCCTGGGAAACGGGTCACTTAGGCCTCTCCTTCCAAGTCCTCAGAGCTTCGCCGTCCAAAGTCCATCCAGCTGGGGTAATGAGCCTCTGGGTCCTGCACCCTGCCAGCAAATTCTGCAGTTGGGGAAGAGACACGGTGCGATTAACTTGAAGGCAGGTGGTGGATTGGCAAAACCTGCCCTCAATCTCAGTCCTGCCAGCCCACTCTCTGTAGATCATCAAGAGCTGGTGGGGTCTACTGGAGTTTTCCTCCTAGGGCTAATAGCAGCTTCAGGGCAAGGGATTTACATCAAGACCCTGGCAGGGCGGGGAGATGGCTGGGGAAAAAATCCCCTCCCTGTCTCTGCCTCCAGCATCCCCAGTTCTGACTGCCTACCCTCTGCTGTCATTTTAGAACAAGCGAGTTAGTCACATTCAGTTCATTAATACAATGTACCGTTTTCTCTCTCGCAATTTGGAGGCAATTCCACTACCAATGGAGACCACAAAGTACTTCTTTGGCATCCCGAGTTTCCAAAAGTTAGAGGTTTTAAACTGTTCTCTCAGAGCAGTATGGAAACACTTGAAAACCACCCAGACAGTTTAAAGATTGAAGCCAGGGAGTGGTTTGCCTGTGACTCTCCAGATCTTTTTGGAAGTATGGTTCCCATCATCTCCCCTGATCATTGGGCCATGTTGGCTGAGGCTGATGGGAATCCAAACAGCCGAGGACCACAGGTCTGGCACTCCTGGTTCAATCAATAAGAAGGCAGGTTTACATTCAGATTGGAGGGTCCCCACTCGGCTCACTTCAAATCTGCCTTCCCTGTCCAGGGTTGAAGACTGAGGGGAAAATGGCAGTGCAAATTTGAAGCAAAAGCTCTGCACAGTGATGGGCAGCACCCTCTAAGATGTCGCTGAGAAACCTCTTCCTTCATCCTGTAGCGGGTTTTGCATTTAACACTTTAAGCCCCCCCCCCATTAAAACTAATGAGGGGTGAGTGAATGCATGAATACATACTTGCATGTATTAAATACCATACATGTGGGGAGGAGCAAGACGGAGGGCTGAGCAAATATTTTATTTAATGCTTTGCCTGTAGTTTCATTTGCATGGCCAGCTTGGCGGAGAGAGATGCACACCTGTTAGATCTCTTCACACTTTGGGAGTGCCTCTCTCGCTCTGAAGCAGCCCAGCCTTCCACTAAGATCATCCGGAAAGGTCTTACTGAGAATGCAAGAAGCATGTGTGTGCAGTTTCTCCTACCTGTACGGAGGTAAGGCAGGAACTGGGCGACCAAATCCTTCTGGTCCTCAGACAGATGTCCTGGCCACTCCCTGCGGATGGGACCACCACTGCTGCTCCTCTGCATCCTCTCCTGTTGTGGTCCAGCCTTGGCTTGCCTGCTTAGCCTGCCACCCCCCTGATAGGATGTGGACACAGATCTTAAGAGGCTTGCGGCTATGAAGGTGGTCAGCAGCAGGCTGGTAAGTACCTTGGTGTGCATGCCTGGAACTTGGAAGATAGTAAGAGGAGGACTTTAGGGGGGGGGTGTTGCCCAGCATCAAATAAATTACGGAGCTGATTAAGTTCTATTGCATAGCCTGGATTGCTGCTTACCTACCTTTTGTTAACCTAATGTACACATTCATGCCATCATGCATTTGCTAGCCTTTAAACTCTAAACTAGTGGTTCCCAGTTGGTGGTCTGAGGACCCACCAGTTGTACCACCGGCCAACCAGATGCCTGCAAGCAACTCTACTAGGCAGCCCCAGGAACTGGTGTTAAGAGGCACTGCCTTCAATACCAGAGACAGCACACCACTGCCATGATTGTAGTAGCCATTAGAATCATAGAATTGTTGGAAGGGACCCCAAGAGTTATTTAGTCCAAGCCCCTGCAATGAAGGAATCTCAACTAGAGCATCCATGGCAGATGGCCATCCAACCTATGCTTAAACACCTCCAAGGAAGGAGAGTCCACAACCTTCTGATGGAGATGGTTCCATTGTCAAACAGTTCTTATTTGCCTTATTTCCATGTAGTTCCTCCAACCCCTTTTTAAAGCCACGTTGATGGCCATCAGAACAGATCCCCCAGTTTCAGTCTGCACTCTGCGGAAGCATGCCCTTTTGCCTGGCCTGAATCTTTTAGATCTAGCATCTAAAAAACCCTATCTACTCATGAGTAGACTTCCCCAACTGGACGTCTTCCAGATGTCTTAGATTACAACTCCCATCAATCTCAGTGGATAGGTGTTATACTCCCAAACACCTGGATGGCACCTGGTTGGGGAAGGCATGACTCAAGGATTCCTTCTCCTTACCTGTCGGGAGTCCTCAGTCAGTGCTCTGCTTCTGTCTCAACAGGATTCTCTCTTCTTCTCCAAAGCAGTGAGGTGCCTTCTTAAAGGCTTGTTGGCTTGCTCCACCCCCTGATGGAGAGAGCTCCTCCTACTCTCTTTTACATCAGCGGTACAGGATCAATTCCTGTGGGGGGGGGGATATATTTCCGCCCATTCCTTCCCTATCTTTTATTGGTCACCAGTGAAAGCTACTTTCCTGCAGCCGCTTAAAACTCAGATAAGCCGTTTCAATAAAAGCTCAGCATTCTGAGGACTGTTCAGCCTTCCCCAACCCAGTGCTCTCCAGATGTTGTTGGACTCCAGCTCCCATCATCCCTTGCTGGCATGGCCAATGGTCAGGGATGATGGGAGTTGTATTCCATACCATCTGGAGAGCACCAGGTGGGGAAGGCTGGTGTAAGGAAACTCAACAGGAGCTAGATTTCTTGGGGGTCTGTTTTAAATGGACAGTGGGAGGTGGTAGCATAGGTCAAGTCCCTGTCTATCTTCTTAGAGTGATCATCCCCCAGGCCTCCTCAAATCTCAGGTTTTTTCCTTGGGTAGCTTTAAAAGAGGATATGCCTTTGAATACCAGTTGCTGTGAATCACAGGTGAACACACACCACAATTGCCTTATTACGTAAATCATGTTCAGAATACCACAACACAATACATTAAAACAGTGAATCAAACACTCCAGAATAAAACAAATTCAAGCTTCAAGGAAAATATTTCAAACCCTCCAGCTTGCAGGATTTCCACAGGTAAAAAGGTAAAGTTCCCTTGGATGGTTAAGTTCAGTCAAAGGCAACTATGGGGTTGCGGTGCTCATCTTGTTTTCAGGCCGAGGGATCTGGAATTTGTCCAGACAGCTTTCCGGGTCATGTGGCCAGCATCACTAAATCGCTTCTGGCACAACAGAACATGGTGAAGGAAACCAGAGTGCACAAAAATGCTGTTTACCTTCCTGCCACAGTGGTACCTATTAATCTACTTGCACTGGCATGCTTTCAAACTGCTAGGTTGGCAGGAGCTGGGACAGATCAACAGGAGCTCACCCCGTCACAGGGATTTGAACCGGGGATTGATTGGCAAGCCCAAGAGGGTCAGTGGTTTAGACCACAGCGCACCTGCATCCCGTTTCCACAGACACCTGGCTGGCCACAGTGAGAACAGGATGCTGGACTAGATGGGCCACTGACCTGATCCAGCCGTCTCATGTTATGTCCTTATGTGGAAAAAGTCCTGTAGCTCTATAACCTTCTGAGCACATACAGATACATATGAACCAGTTTTGACAGAGAGGTAAACCTGACCTAGCAACTGCTTGAACATCACAATGAAGTCTTGGTGTTTGAGGAGGGAGGGGGACAGAATTTAAATGGAAACTAAGGGTACTTGACAACAAAACATGCATTAAAATAGTTTATTTTAAAAATAGAGCACATCAGCCATCACAGTGCCACTGGAGGAGGTGGAGAACGATCTAACAGTGACAGAAAAGAAACCACACTCCACTAAAAGCATCTTTGAAGTCTTAAGTGGCAAGGAAGGACCTCAGCTGCAAATGCTCTCTGTGTAGAGATGAAGTTTGTTTTTCAGATGCAATCGTTTGATCATCCTCTTGCTATTTCCCCCCATCTTCTTTGTGGAGCAAAAATACTTTGATGATGCATAGATAGATCATCTTAAAAAGTGTCAACTTGCTACCATAAGAGCTGTTAAGAAAGTGGGACTGTAAACATAGCCTCATAACATCCATCATGTAAGGCAATAAATTTGTATTTTGTTACCTTCTTCCCGCTACCCGCTGCCTGCCATTCTGGTTTCCTGAAATAGCATGTTGAGCTTAAAAGCTCCCCAGATTGCTGCCATCCCCAAACTCTCATCTTTCAATGCCAGAAAATAAAAAAATAAAAAAGGAAGCTTTAGGCCTAGATAAATGCAAACTGCGGGAGGCAGTGGAAGACAGAAGTGCCTGGCGTGCTCTGGTCCATGGGGTCACAAAGAGTCAGACACGACTAAATAACGACAAAATGCATTGAATTCCTACCATAAGACACCAGCCTCATACAAACCAAGGCCATTTTGAAGATCTAGGAGGCAGCCAGTCCAATAAGAAACAACTTCAGGTGCGTTGATCAAAATAACACAACGCAAAGCCATTTTCAAACACGGCAAAAGGCTGATGGGATGCACAACTGACTTGTGGTTCCTTAGATTGCACTTCTCCATCTTGTCCCAAAACTATCTTTGAATGGGAAAGAAAAAAACATGAGACACAAAACACAATAGCTCCCTCTCTGGTCTTTGTTTACTGCCATGCATCCAGAGCAGGTAAAAAAATTGGTCAAACTACGATATCCATTCAGCTGAAACAGTATAGTTTGCGTGTAATGATGTTGTATTATAAATAAGAATTGCCAATGCTTTAAAAAAACAAAACTGAACAGAATTTACCCACAGAGCAAACAGGGTCTGGCATCATCTTGGAGTTAAAATGGCAGGCATTGCGGCAGTGGCAGTATCACTGGCTGAGAATGCTAAGGGCTCCAGCCTGGCTGAATTAGAGAAATGCCCAGATGGGGTTCAGCTTAGCTACGAGAAAGACATGTCTCAGGTTTGCAGTCTATAGGCCAGGGGCAGCAAACACGGTGCCCCCCCAAAGATGCAGACTACATTTCCCATAATCCCTCACCACTGGCTACATCGGCTGGGTCCGATGGGAGTTGTAGGACTACCTGGAGAACACTATTTTGGCTATGCCTGCTCTTGGTCCACACAGTTAGTAGCCTGCCAGTGTGGAGAGAGGATGCCATGCCTCTTTACCCACTCCTCAAAATAGACCACATGAGTAACTTTACAAGAGGAAGGTTTGGTCTTGCGTTACCAAGCCCTGTGCTGCAGTCATCACAAAGTTGCCTAGATTCACTGGTGATTTCCATCCCCTCCCGTCTCCTCTGACATATCTCCTTCCTGTAGCATCTTGCGTAAGATGGATGCATCAGCCCATGAGGCTGTTGTTTAAACAAACCCTTTTCTTGGGAATAATAGCAAGGGAAAAGGGCAATTAGATGGGAAAGTAACCGATTCAACATTCCCTTCCGAGAGGAACACAAACAATTTATTCTACCATTACTGGAAGATTAGGAAGACGTGCTTTCCTGCTAAGACCATGCTACCTATTTGCGCTTGATTTATGACTTTCCAGTTGGACATCCTGTCTAGTTTAAACAGTGTCAGATGTGGAGGTAGGGCTGCTACTGCTTTCCCTGCCCAGCCGCTCCACTTCTCTGGACTGAGGCTATGACTCTAAAGGGGCAGACTAACAGGCAGCAATTCTAGTAGGGAAGCTTTGCATCACAGTGTATTCTACCACGACTGGATTTTTCGCTGAATAAAATGTGGTCAAGTATCAATTTGCACATGCCACAGATGGGGAGAAAGCAGCCCTGATAGAATTTTTGCATGCTATGCTGCTAAAGTTGGCATCTCACAGAAAAACTATGTGGATCTATGGAACACATTTCATTAGAATTCAAGATTTAAAAACAAAACAGGAAGGTCAGTACTCTTTGCACTTGAAGATCCACAGCAGCTTACAAAATACCTGGAAATATTTCATGCCAGTATGAACCATTTTGAACTTTATATGCAGGAGGTTCCTGCATTTTGTTGCCCCCCCCCCGATCACAATTAGTTTGATTGCTCTATATGGCCTATATTGGTGGTGTGTGTGTATATGTGTGTGTGTATATATATCCTTCATGTGGAGAGGGTGCTCAAAACATTCCTTATCTTATTTTCCTATGATCCAAGTCTTCCCATTTGCCTTTATTAATTTCCCTTGTTCTTTGAAGTTTCTGTTGCCCACACCTGCTCAGACAACTTGCTACTCAGTGAAGTCTCAAAATAGCAGTCTGCCTCTTCACTACATAGTGAAAATTTCTACTGTTCACCTTTTTCTTACATTATTTTCAGCATGGTCTTTGGGGTCACAAGGGAATACTGGTGGTCCCCAGAAAGCAGTCCAAGAAACTTTGCCATAGTTGAATTCCCTGCAACAGCTAGGAGAATTCAGTGTGATTCAAGCAGTAAGCAAGGAGTTCCCTCTTGTGTTTGACCACTGGCACTGCAATTATTTCATGCGCACATCCACATTGCCTTTCCAAAGTGTGCACTGAAAATTGCAAGGCGGCCAAGATTGAACAAACTTCTACACTTCTGAACAAACTTACTAAGCGGGTGTTAGGAAGTCCACTTCACTAAATAAGATCATTCTATTTTCTCTTATCTGGAAGTAAAGTACTTATGCTGTACATTTTACCTTCCTTGTTCAGTTGTAAGATGGCTAGAATGTAGACATGTCATTGTATATAAAACTATCAACATGAGCAAAATAAACTGTGGGCACACAGTAGCTGCCTGCCGTCACGTTACTTGCCTATTTCTCTCTTGAAAGAGTACAATTTTTCAAGTTGATAAATGGGCATGGAAATCCACTCCATCAACCCGTCAAGTTCAAACTCAATAGCCAGGAGCTTATTTGCCACTAATGTATCAGAACCAAATTGGCTCTCTTAACACTCACATAAAAAAGGAAAGAGACTAATCGACTCTTGACTTTTAATAGATGAGAAAAGGATTGATAGGAAAGTATTAACAAGGAGTCACTCAGTGGAAAGTCACATCCACAGGATAAAGTGTTGACAAGCCAAGTGTGTGAGACCTAATAAATATTGTGGAATGGAGACAGCCCATTTTAAAAAATCAATTCTATCGCTACACATTATACAGTGCCAACTGTTCCAGATTACATACTGGCTAAGTATTTGAGGAACTTAAGGAAAACTTGCATCTTTTTAACATTCATGAGACTTGTGTATGCATGCTTAGTATTTTTGTACATAACCACCACCTGAATAAGCACAAGTTATTAGTGTTACTGATGTATGTTCTAGTAGATTGGCTTTGCCCATCAGCCTGCAAGATACGTTCGTCCACACACTAGATTTTAGCTCCTGCTACGTACACACACAATATATGCCCCATACCAGCTACTAAGTTTTTGACCTGTGCTTAGATTTTAAATACTCCCAGCTCTATCTTCCCTGCAAATACAGTGGCTAGGCTAGAAAACTGGGGCACTTCCTGCAACTGTCAGTTACATAATTGTTTACCTCAGCCATTTCCCCGATTTGGAATTAGCACCATAAATGCAACCTTTGGGCACTAAATGAAACATTTGGCACCAATAAATGATTTAGAACCACCACTTATAGAGTGGGATAGGCCCCTTTGTTATAAGGACTTTGTCGCACCCTGAAAAGAAAAATTCCAAGCTCAAAATGCCTAAACATGAAAGAATTTAAGTGTTTGTGTGGAAACTGACCCCTTAGTGGAATCTACAAGCTCTACCCTGGGCCAGATCTCTTTAGTGTATCAGGGCTGGTCAACATCAGGCCACCTCTAGCTATCCTTGTTATTACTATTGCAGGAATGCACCCATGAGCGTCTTCACCCTATCTTTTACCAATGGCACAAGCAGAACTTCCTATCTGTAAAGCCCAACTGAAGCACTTTACATATTAAGCTCACTAAACTTTGGTACTCATTTAAAGTAACTCTCAGCCCTCAGTCTCTTTAGGGGGCATTAACATAAACATTCCCAAGTACACTGCTACACAAAAGGTCTAACCAACATAATGATGCAGTATATTACAGAGATCATCCCTTAGCATTGTGATGCAACTCAAAGGTCAGCAGGCCAATTATGTTGGGGATACCAGGGCATGGTGTTGCTTTGTACTTTTCCTGCTCCTTCCACCTAAACTCAGAATTTATTTCCTGAACCTCTACTTTGGACAGTGCTTAAAAGTCTGTTTATAGTCAGAACATCTTCTTCCTCTGGAGATGTCTACAACTTTAGGCCAGAGTGGCACAGATGAAATGTAGTTTGTGAACTGCTACTTCAGCTGATAAAAAAACCTATAGGTGTATCCTTTAGCAGGGTATTGAAATGACAAGGAAACAGTTTCTGAAAATCATTTTTATTTAAATAAGTGTTTAAATACATTTCACAGAACATCAGGACTTGAACCAAGAAAGCTGTTGCTTCGCAGGGTCATTAGTTGTTAAAAGCAGCACTCCACAATGACAAACCTATTTTAAAACTGCTCCCTTAACTTTAAGCCACAGATTGAGTCTGCTATTGATCGGTCTGGGAACGGGGACTTTGGTTTCCACATCCCCCAATACCTTTGAAGGAAGATTCCTTCAGATGTACAAAGGCAATTCAGACCCCAGCTCTGCACTCTGCCACTTAGTGTCACAGTTCGTTCCAGACAAGCACCTCTAGTTATTAGCCTCAATTTCTATGACATGGTGGCCTGAAAGTTTTTTAGAAAGTCCCCAACACAGCCAAAACATTCATGGCCTCTTATCAGAAGTGTCTTGTGTAGAATAAGCTTCTGGCTTTACACCATAACTGGGCCTGGTTTAAATGAGGAACAGCAAGACGACACAACGTGGGCTCTTGTCAGTTTATTACATTGCTGAGTTACACTAGTCCAGACTAAGGGGAACCTGATGCGATTACATTATGCAAGCTGGCTTGTTTTTAAACTAGTGATGCGGGGCACAAGGAATTTCTCATCTCAGGGAAGTCTGCCCCCTTGAGACTTTGGCGAGCCACAGGCACTTAAAACCCATGGACTTTCAGCTGGTCGTCTTTAGCCAGTCCAATCTGCAAAAGGAAAGAGAGAAGTGATTGTGGCTTCAAACACCAACTCATGAATGCAGTCTGTACAATAGAGTGTCTTTAAAAACTCACCAGCTCGATAGCCACCACACACCCCAACACAAGCTAAAACCAGTTACTTTACAGGCTGTGCGATTGTTTTAATTCAGTTGCTGCGATCCATCATGAACCTATTCAACCCTATGCCAATCTTAAAATGCAAGAACAGAAGCAATAAGCCAAACAGGAGCTTTAAGGACTCCCTTGAAATGCTTACCTCAACGAGGAACTGACATATGTTCTTCCGCTGGTCCCCTTGAAGCTGAATCACCTCTCCATACTCTGGGTGCTCAATCACAGTACCATTGCAGGCAAATTTCTACAGATATAAAAATCACGTATTAAATATAAATCTCAGAGCATTTTATTGGGGGGGGGAGGAGCTTTGCCACAATATACACTGAGATGTCCAAGAAACAGATCGCCTTCTATCAACCAAAGCACAAGCCTCTTTTGCCACACCTCCAAGTTCTCTCTGGGAAAGATTGAAGCTTCTCCTACTCACCTTCTTGAAGGCCTTCACCAGTTTCTTTTTATCATAATCATCGGCGATGCCCTGGACTGTGGTGAGGGTTTTTCTGCCGTTTCTCTGCTGGATCCTTATATGGATGTAGTCCTCAGTCCCAGCAGGAAGTAAGTCATCACCCTTACTTGCATCAGCAAAGGGGTCTGGAAAGAGAAAGAAAGTGTTAAAAGCTACACAAAGGACTTGGCACCCTTGCTAAAAACGTAAAGATGCTTATTTTTGTTGCTGGGTAAGCTTAAAATGCCTCCTTCTCAACACCATCTACAACACTTCATATTCTTGTTCGAAAGCCCAAGAGCTATGAACTATGCACCAAACAAAGTGCCATCGATGAACTGCTCAGCCACAAGGAAAGGAGTTGGCATGAGAGCCACAGTGTTACTCCACCACTGATGCGGGCCTCTTCCTTGACACCCGGTTACACAGTACTTTGCTCTCTTCCTCTTGCAGGCCCTGAAAACAGGCCCTTTCCTCTCGGGCCACGTGACACCCGTCGAGCCGCCTCTCCCTGTCCCGAAGCCCCTCCCTCGTCTCCGGCTGACGCAACCGCCAAGAATTAGCAACTGCGTCAGTAAAGGGGGGGGGAGTAAGAAAGAGAGAGAGAGACAGAGTGAAGAAAAGGGAAGATGGCAGAGGCTGCTCAGCAAACGCCACATCCCGGGGCCTCACCGAGACGCACAGAAAGAAACAAGCATCCTGATTCCCGCCCCCCCCCCAAATCTGCCTTTGCCGCAGCCCCCGTGGCCGATCAATCCTCTTAACAGAAAAACACCCCTCCCCACTAGTAAAAAAAACCATTACTTGCGCTAAGCCCCCCCTCAATTCCTACGAAACGCACTTCCCTCCCCCCCATCGCCTCCAATACCCCAAAAGGCCCCGCAACTCAGGCTAAGGATATGCGACCCCCGCCCCGCTTTCCACCCTATCGAAAAGTATTTCGCTCCCCCCCCCCCACATTATTCTGGCTTCATGCCAACCTCGATCTAAGTTCTTTAACCTCCATTACGCATCTCTCCGCCCCACAAAAAAAACCCCAACACCACGGTCAAGCGGCTCCTCCCCATTTACCCCCCCTCTCCCCCATTGTCCCCCCTCCCCACGCGGAAACAGGCTCCGCCCCCTCTACCGCAGCCATGGCTCCGCCCCAGACTCTTCGCCCCCCCCTCGTCCCTTTTCGAAAAATGCCCCCCCCCTCCCTCACCCGCAGTTTCCAGTCAGCCTCTTCTCTCTCGCCCTAGTTCCGGCCCCGCTCGGGCCTCGCCCTTTGTCCCGACATTAGAGGCCTGTTCGCCTCCTCTGAGGCCTTCCCTCGCTTAAGGACCAACCGACGACACCCACCCCCAACGGTTTCCCCTCAGGCTCGTTTTTGACCCCCCCCTTCTGCCCGCCCCACAGAAACCTGAGGCTTCCTGCCTATTTGCCCCCCCCCTCCGGCCGGTGTCCTCACCGAAGGAGTGGAGGTTCTGGATAGCGGACATACGACGCGCTTCGCTTCGCTTTTTCCCGGGTCGGAGGCAACTGCAGCGACGGCGAAAGGCGGACGCGACGAAGTAAACGGCTCTTCAACCTCTGCGAGGGGGCACCAAAAAAAGGAAAAGGCAGCAGGAAGGGCGGGGCCACACGGCCGGCCGTTTATATAGTGGGTAGGCTTTTGTGACGTCAGCGCGCACCGGGAGGCGAGGGAAGGGATTGGCTAGAAAGGGGAACGGGGTGTGTTGTGAGAAGCGCGGGGGGGGACTAACGCGCACAACCCCGCTGGAGGGGGATGGGAGGAATCAAGGCTGCGGCTGTGCAGCCGTCACGCTCCGACCCTTTCCTCCTTCTCCACCCCTGCCCCGCCCGTAGCCGCGTATTTGTGCAGCCCCAGCACGCTTGCGCAGTGGAGCGAGGGAGGCGACGGGAAACTGGACACGACTGGATTTCCCCCCCTTGTGACGTCGTCGCGCGCTAGGGCTTGAGGGGGATTGGACGACAAAGAACGTAGCGCGGGGAGGGGGCGCTGCGCACTTTCTAAGGGGAGGGGGGAAAGGCAGGCGGGAAGGGAAAAAGTTGTGGAGGCGGAGAGAAACGAATGTTTGGCGCATGCGCGTTGTTGCGTGAGGCATTTTTCCCCCCCAGGGTGTGAGTTTGTGTGTGCTTTGTTTGCTTGTTATTTGCGTTTGGTAGTCATGATCATCTCCAGTGTCATCATTTTTTTAAAGAAAAAAAATAAAGAGCATTTTAGGGTCCTGAAATGTGAAGTCTCTGAGGGAAGCCTATTCCTTGGTAGTAGGAAGTGCACTCTGTACATGCCCAGAGGCGCCCCCTTTTTCATTGAAAAGATCACGTTCTACGCAGGAAAACAATATTTTAAGTCATCCACGGCGTTCAGTAGCTACATCAAATCAAGCCTGTTTTCATTTGGGGCTGAGGTGAATAGCGCCTCATTTCAATCGACCCTTCGCAAGATTCAGATTAGTATGTCTTAAATTATCAAACAAAACAAAACAACAGCCAACTTCTTCAAATAAATGTGACCCAGTTCATTGATTATCTTTTCCCGGCAGAGTACCTGTCCTTACAAGGGCTGCACAACAGGCAGAAACTTGACAAGATAAAAAAGTTGAACTTCTGCCTTCTGTGGAGAAGGACAACAAATGATGGCAGCTCTGTCTGAGCTTCAGCTCTGGCTCAGTTTCTTTGGACCCTAGCATCTAACATTTTGTGGTAGTTTAATCATCATCTATGGCAGACAGAACTCCAGAAGAGCAGCAGCCCTTTTTTATCCCTCTTCAGAGTTGGGCAGAGGGGCCTTCTCTCTTTTATATATATAATGTTTATTAAATTTCCTGTTTTACAATTTAGAATACCCATTTAAACATCCTTAAAATATCAGTGACTTCCCTTCTTTGCTTTCCATGGTTCATTTTGCATATCATAAATCCCTGCATATTTTACATAAAATAAACCATTCAGTATTTCATTATTACATCCATCAAAACTTATTTACACTGTTGAATTTATATTAATGCTGCCAACCTTTTCAAGTGTACACATTTCCCCTCCATATAGTCAATAAACAGTTTCCAATCTTCTCTAAACGAATGCTCTTCTTGTTTTCTTATTCTATATGTTAACTCCATGAGTTGCACATAATTCATTATGGATTATTATGGATTGAATGACAGTGAATCCATAACCGCAGAGGGGACTTCTCAATGCAATTCAGAAATAGAAACACCTAATCCCGTTCCTTCGTCCTTTTAATCCAGTCAGTTATTTGTGATTTGTGCTGCCTGTGCGTAATAAGCCAATAAAAGTTTTATCCTTAGGTCAAACATTTTGAAAGCCAGATCTACCTCATTTGAAGTGATACTCGGGATTTTGTTGTCTCAGTTTCTCAGGAGAGGCAAGCAAAACAAAGACAAAAAAACCTTTTATGTGTAGGCTCCTCGATAAAATAATAGATCTCCTTAGTCAGCAATTAATTAGCTGGGAGAATGATGCAACATGAATACTCCAGAAATGCCTGGACTTTGCAGTGAATTTTGTGAGTTTCTGAGCAGTAACTTCAGAACAGATTCCAGACCGTCTGGAATTCATGTGAGGCCCCAAACGTATGGTTTCCTGTTTTCCCCCGCTGCTGCAGCACGCATGCATGTGTGGGAGCTTTGATGACTGGACATCTCCCCCTACTCCGGGAAAAAAATGCCACAGAGCTGGCTCTCTGCCTCTGCCTGAGCTGTTGCCATCACGTGATACCAGGGCCTCTCTTTCACACTGCACATATTTCAGATTTCCAAAATACTGCAGATGTCCAGTTTGTCCAAACTACTGAAATGAACCAGTTAACAGGGCAGCATGCACCCCATACTTTCCTCTGTGAATTCCTCCTCTTCAATTGCAATTCCCTCGCCCCCATCGTCCTCAACTTGGGACACGGCACTCCATGTTCTGGTAACTTCCAGACTGGATTATTGTAGGGAGCTCAGATCTGGGGCTGCCCTTGAAGATGATCCAGAAACTTCAGCTTGTCCAAAATGCAACAGCCAGATTATTGGCTTTAGAACTCATAATAATCCTTGTTCCAAAACAGCTGCATTGGCTGCTGGTTAGTTTCCAGGCCGCATTCAAGGTGTTCACGATAGCGTGCAGCTTTTGACGAATGCTGAAGACACACCTCTTTGGCACCTGAGATAGGTGTTTTCAGAACTCACCCTGTTATTGTGAATGTAACACGTTTTAATGTTTTTCTTGTGGTAACCATCTGGCACCTGTTGGTTAAGGTGGGTAATAATAATAATAATAATAATAATAATAATAATAATAATATTTCTGGAGCTTCATGCATATGCTCCAACATTTCTCTGATGAAAATAGGGCTGTCCTGTTCAATACTAATATTAATACTAATACTAATATTTATACCCAGCCCTTCTGATTGGGTTGCCCCAGCCACTCTGGTGCGGCTTCCAACATATTTAAAAACATAATAAAACATTAAATATTAAAAAACCTGTCTATGCAGGGCTGCCTTCAGATGTCTTCTTAGTATAGTTACTTATCTACTTGGCTCAGGGGTCGCATACCTCCATACCCTCCAACATTTCTCCAACGAAAACATGGACATCCTGCCATACCCTCCAACATTTCTCCAATGAAAATAAGAAAATTGGGACATTCCGGAATTAAACCAGAAACTGGGATGGCTTCTGTAAGTCCGGGACAGTCCCTGGAAAATAGGGACACTTGGAGGGTCTGTTCATGTTTCCAGCTGCTTAACTGGCATGGTCACTCTTCTTTTTCACCTGCTATTAGGCTGGAAGCTACTTGAACCTTATAACGGCATAACCTGCTTTCTATAGCCAGTTGCCAGATCTTCCTTGAATTGGTTTTGACCCTGGGGCTCCTAGGTTCTTGACCCCTATAGTAAAGCAATGCAGAGAAACATCTGGATGTTATTTTCCTATGACTCTGACTCCCCAGCTGGAACCAGAACATACCTGCCCAAACCTGATTTGTATTTTCTGTGCGGTGCAGAGCAGATAAACAGGCTCTCAAACATAGACTCCGTTGGATGACCTTGCACCAGATTGTCTATAAGCCATTCCACAGAGGAATGTGGCTCAGTCAGTCAATGCAGGTGAAAGCTTAAGAATGGATTAACTCTTTCTGTTTGTCATGGTTTAAATGCCTGGTGCCTGTTTTCATCCCCAGTGTCTGATCTGATTATTTTATGCAAAAGGGGAAGTGATGCTTCGCATTGGATCAACTCGTGTGTTGCAAGCGTATACACGCTTGTAGGTTCAACCTTCCCAAATGTTTGGTATTGTCCACGCATTATGATTGCACCTTACACGTGATTAATTTGTGCGACTTCAACCTTGCGTACTTGAAAGCTGGCCAGCTGAAATCCCACAAGTTAATTGCCCACAAGGCAGGTATACACATTTTTGCATGCATGCACCACCCTCTGAACACAATCCCCGTGCAAAACGTGTTCCATTTCTTGGTGCATACATTGCATTAGTTAGAAATTTCCCATGTGCAGGGCAGGCAGGAAGAAATGTGTCTGGCGATAAAAAAATTTGGGTTCACCCTTTGAATGGCAGCTTTAGCAAAAGTGGTACTAGACTACTAGTCAAGGGTAAAGGTAAAGGTAAAGGGACCCCTGACCATTAGGTCCAGTCGTGACAGACTCTGGGGTGCGGCGCTCATCTCACTTTATTGGCCGAGGGAGCCGGCGTACAGCTTCCGGGTCATGTGGCCAGCATGACTAAGCCGCTTCTGGAGAACCAGAGCAGCGCAAAGAAATGCTGTTTACCTTCCCGCCGGAGCGGTACCTATTTATCTACTTGCACTTTGACGTGCTTTCAAACTGCTAGGTTGGCAGGAGCAGGGACCGAGCAACGGGAGCTCACCCCGTCGCAGGGATTCGAACCGCTGACCTTCTGATTGACAAGTCCTAGGCTCTGTGGTTTAACTCACAGCGCCACCCGCGTCTCGCTTGTCAAGGGTACAGCCATGCAAATAAGCTACCAGAGAGGGTGCAAAGCAGAGATGTGTAGATGAGGAGGGGTGTTGCCTGGGGGAAGTCGAAAGAGCCAGATAGAGAGGCCTGGAGGGGAGCATTTGGTTCCCCATCCCTAAATCATTATATGTTGTATTCTGTAAACGAGGTTTTCGATCTATCCCCTGATGAGCCTGGCTTCAAATTAAACCTAATACAGGGAGGAAAAGAAGCAGCAATCTGTTTCAAATACTTTGAATTTGCTGCCTCTCCTCCTATATAGCTTATTGGGCCCCTGAGTTCACCCCAATAAGCTGTTCCATACGTCCTTGTGAGATCTTTGCTCTTGCAGCCCATGGCTGTGTAAAAGGATCTGTGGCGCAGTAATCCTACACTGGGGCAATGAGAAGAAGAAGCGGATCTGTGCATCCCCGATGGCTCTCCTGACTTGGCCAATGAGGTAGGGAGAGAGGCGCATCCCGCGTCAGGAGGGATCCTATTTTCCCCTGGAAAGTTGCGTCATGGCTTGCCAGGGCCGGCCTCACAGTTTGCAAACCACAAAGGAGGCTGGAGAGGGAATATCCTGGAATGACCTTAAAAGGCAGCTCGCCCCTGTTTTGTCTTGTCCACCTTTCCAGAACTGCCTCCAGGCAAAACATTCCTTCCGACCACGCAATTTTTAGGGGTGGTGGCGGGAATATCTTGCAGAAATAAGCTAGAGATGATTGTTGTCAGGTCCGAAGGATGGGTTCAGGGTTGCAATGCTTGCCTGAGCCGGTCCTGGAAGTCAACATACATTATTTCATCCCATGGCCTTAGCCTTGAGAAGTTGGGCGGGTTGGTGGTTGGCAATGTTTGCTCCATTACACCTGGTGGCAGAAAGCTCACTGATTTCTATCTGTGCCCAACTATGCCCTTTGTTTCTCTGGAGCTGAGGGCATGCTTGGCCCACTTCACACCAAGTTGGTGTGGCCATCCAGT